CCATAGCGTGGCAGCTAGGATTTATACTCTGATGTTTAGATAATATACTCGCTTTAATCGGTTTTGGAACAACTCTTTTGTATGATTTACTGATTTAGAAATGAAAATTTTACCATGAATTTTTTGGACGTTATATCATCCTCCATTGCATATACCACCATCACCATCACCATCGCCATCTCCATTCCTTGCTTTGTTCACCAGTGACCCTTAATTACAACACCGCACCCAATATCTATTATCACAACAGATCGCAACCACTAAAGGACATTTTTTCATCTGTTTCTTTGAGTGAAACTAGAAAACCCGAAGGATGAGGAATGCGACTCGAAGATTCAGTCGAGGGAGTAAAAGATGAAGATACAGATCGGGGTGAAGACTTCATAAGTTTAGAGACTTGAGAATCGAACAAAAAACAGGGGAGCTCGGCCGTCTTCCGAAAAGAGATGCGGCTATGTTGAAAAGACAATGATCTCATTTGATGTTTTTGCCAACGGGATTTAGTGGCGATGGCGAGGAAGGTGTGGGCGAGGGGATGCGACTGAGAGACTTATGTGGCAGAGGAGATGGAGGCTTACCGCTTCCAATCCAGAAAAAAATAGTTTGTGGGGTTGGGAAGAAGACGTAGTCTTCACTTTTTGGTGGGATTTGTTTAATTAAGGGTTTTAATTATAGGAAAAGTCACGTTTTAATTTTAATTAAAAAAATTCAAAAAGCCACATAGACTATGGGTAACCGGTCAAACTGGGAAGATATTGGTTAGTTCCCTGTTTAACAGGGAAAATAACACTTTAGTAGCCTATTGCACAAAAAAAACATGGGTGACCAATCCGCGACAAAATCAAAACTTTATTATGCTACATGTCATTTTCTATATATATATATATATATATATATATATATATATATATATATATATATATATATATGTATGAGGTTCAATAGAAAACCATTATTAACAAGGAACCAAACGTTGAGCGTCGGAAGTCATAATGATCAATGACCAAGGGAATGGATATGCACTTATACATTGAACGCAAAATGATCAATGGCCAAGGGAACGCACATATATCGGATTATACCATAAAACTCACATTTTTACCAAAAAAATTCACCTCTCTTTTTCGTTTAAATTTTTTAAGCCATGTTTTTTATCCAAAAAAAAAACTGAATATACTGTTGTTCACGATTTTTCGTCATTTTTCCATAAAGATCCATGTTGATATATAAAAAACAAACTTTTTTTCGATAAAAACTCACTTCGTTTTGTTTTTGTTTTTCAATAGTTAAGTTTATTTTTATCCGAAATAACTAATTATACCAAAAATCACAATGTTTGTCCTCTATTAATAAAAATCAACAACGATTAAAAAAAAAAACTCTCATCAGTTGAGATTCACACTATGAATCTAAACTGTAGATATTTCAATTTTAAAATTCATAATGTGAATCTGACTTACTATTTCAACTTTTTTATCATTCACGAATTAAGTGAAATTCACATATGAATCGAAATATATTTCCATATAATTTTATAATATTTTAACGTTTTGATTACTCTAAATTAGTTTTGTAAAATCAACAAATGGATTTATTCACATTGTGAATCGGAAGTGTATATAATTTAGTTTTCAGAATTCACAATGTGAATTTAACTTACTATTATTCACACTTTCAATCTGAACAGATTCACAATGTGAATCTGAACTGAAATTTTGATTTTTTTTTAAACATCAATATGAATATATGTTTCAAGGGTACCAAAAAATATGACTTTTGATATAGTTATTAATTTTTTTTCGAAAGAAAGTAGACCTTAACATTTCAAAAAGCAAAGAGTATGAGGTGAGTATTTTTGAAAAAAAAAATC